GAGAGAAAGAGAGAAAGAGAGAAGGAGAGAAGGAGAGAAAGAGAGAAAGAGAGAAGGAGAGAAAGAGAGAAGGAGAGAAAGAGAGAAGGAGAGAACGAAGAAGAGGCACATACCACTAGGGAGTCGGCACAACGCTCGAGCGACATCGTGTCAAGGGCGGCCGACCGCGGGCCGAAGATGGACACCATGTCACACAGGGCACGGGCCACCACAGCAAAAGGACCGGCCTCGGTGTCCTGTGCGGCAGCCAACTGACCAGCCTCCACGAGGGCATCCAATCGCGCGACCAACTCAAGCAGATGCCCCAGGAAGCGATTGGCCGCCGGGCCGAGATCCACCCGACCAACCAGGGCCGACAGGCCGGCCACTTGGCCCGAGGGCAGCAGCGGAGGCAGGATGGCATCCTGTAGCGTCAGGCTGAGGGCATTGGCCGAGCCGGTCTGCCCGGGGGCCGAGGCCGGGGCCGGGGCCGAGGCACTGGGCGAGCCAGGCTCCACCACCGAGGCAGCGGCCTCCTCCTCGGCCGCAGCGCCGGCCGCCTGAACGGCCAGGCAGAAACGCGCGCGCAGGCTCCGAACCAGCAGCAGGGCGCGCTCATCCGGCGCATCGAGGAACTCAGCCAGATGATCAACCAGGCGTGGAAGTTCGGCCGCGTCCAGGGGCATGCTGATGCTCAGGCCGGCCTCGCAGGTGTCGATGACCTCCGGCCGGCGGGCAAGGGGCCGGGCTTGGTCGGCAGCAGGTCAGAGGAGGACCATGCGAGGGGAAAGAGAGAGGGGAAAAAGGGTAAGAAGAAGAAAACAGGAGCCAAGCAGAGCAGGGAACAGGCCCCCGCCGAGAGAGAGAGAGAGAGCCCCAGGTGAAGAGGGCGCACCGTAAATCGCCGCATAAAGCCGCAGCAGCGAGCCACACCAGAAGTCCGGGAGTTGGTCCATGGCCGGGACCATGGAGTCACCAATCGCCAGGGGGGCAATCTTGTCACTCAAGCCCGGAGGGACATTGGCACACAGCGGATCAATGGCAAGCTTGATCGCCGCGCCGAAGGCTCGGCTTTCGTGATCGGCCGGCAGACCGACAGTCCGGGCGTCCGGCTGACTGGCGGCTGCCAGCTCGCCCGGCAGCGGTCCGAAGTACCGGCCAACGGCCTGGTCATCGAGCAGGAGACCCCCGATCAGGGGATGCCCCGGGCCCAGGATAACCAGCCCGGCAGCCAGCCGGGCCAGATGCTGCAGCTGGCGGATCTGCCGCAGAGGTGGCCACACAAGGCGACTGTCAGCCGAGTCCTGGTGGCGGCCCAGCGACCGAGCCACATGTCCCGACACGCTGGCCCGCAGGGTGTCCACCGAGCCGGCCAATTGCGAGCTGAGGATATTTTGATCACCAACGCCCAGCTCCACCGGGGCAGGGGCTGACGGCTGGGGGGCGGACTCCTCGCCGGCGGGGGCAGCCATTTCGACATCTCCGGGCGGCGACGCCGGGTTCGAACGCTGGAAGAGACCGTGGTCCAGTTGGGCCAGGTAAACCATCAGATGCCAGAGGATGACTGGCTGCTCGAGCAGAGTGTCCGGAACTGGAGTCGCGCGTGTGTGTGTGTGTGTGCATGGACCCGAGCGCGAATCAGCAGGGGGTCATGAAAGGGGAAGAGGGAAGGGGAAAGGTGCCGAGAGGAAGTTGGCGGCGCCCGGGCAAGAGCAGGCGAGAGGCAGCCAGACGCACTGTACTTGGACACAAAGTCCAGGGTTTTGAGAGCCATCTGCTTCAAGGGCACTAGGAGCACCGAGACGCGCATTCGCATGGCAGCGCACCCCGACCCGAACGCCGGGAGCGAAGAAATGGATGCCAGATGAGTGAGCAACGGAAAGGCGGGCAGGAGCCGTGCATGCGGCCCTTCGCACGGCGAGAAAAGAGACAGCCAGAAGTCCCGGCGATGATGCACAGAGACCGAGGGAGGGCGACCACACGACACGTACAGGGCACAAAGGCCGAGGTGGCCAGGCGAACCAGCCACAGGGCCAACGGCGCCGAAAAGTCCACCACCAAGCGGGCATAGATGCCTTCACCGAGGGCGGCCACCTCGGCCCGGGAGAGACTTTCCTCACGTCGGCGGCGTGACAGGGCGCGCATCTCCCGCCGGGCGGTGTGCGCCGCAAACTCCAGCATGTTGCTCAGGGCAAGCAGCGCGGCACTGGCATGGACTTGGCTCTGGCGCGAGGTCAGCCCGGTCCCCAGGGTCGGGGGGATGGCCTGCGAGCCGGGAATCACATCCGCATCCAGCGGATGCCCGAGCAGAACAACACATGCGGCATCAATGGCCGCACGGTCAATGCCAGCCCCGGCGAAGCTCGACGAGGCATCCGCATCCGGGGTCAGCTTATAGCGCTTTTGCAGGAAGAGCATCACCCGGTGGGTGAAGGCCGGCGGCAGGCCGGGCACCGTCCCCGGGCGGCCGAGGACCAGGGCACATAGCGCGCGCAGAACGCGCTGGCCCGGCTGGCCGGCCGATGGCAGGGCGAAGGACTCCACGCCGCGCGTTTGGGCCACCAGCGATGACACGGCGGCCGACACCTGTCCCGAGGTCCGGTCGTGGGCCGGGCCCACATGGATGAGCGTCTGCCGGGCAACCGGATGCTCGAGCAGTATGGCAGCCACCAGCAGCGGAGGCAGCAGCTCGGCATCATCCAGCAGCCAAGCCGGGGCGGCGGGCGTGCTGGCCGGTGCCAGAGCCAGCCGGTTGGACTGGCACACTGCCGCCAGTAGGGCGAGGCTCCGATCGCGTGCCAGCCGCAGGGCGGCCACAGTGCCCACCATCGGCATCAGGTGCGACGTGGGCCGGCGCAGGGCGGCAAGATCCCGCGTCAGATCGGCCACCTGTTCGGCCGACAGGCCCGGCATCGGCTCCAGGGCAGTGGTGGAAGGGCCAACCGGAGCAGTGGGACTAATCCCAGGGGGAGGAAGGCAACGGGTAAGACAAGTGCCGGGGGAAGAGGCACCGACCAAACAAACGCCCCTCGCTCGCCCGCCGCCCCCTCTGTTAGCATCGGGAGCAGACGCAAACTCTCAGCCATGCATGGGTTTGCCTGTGCGTATGTGTGTAATAATATAGATATATATATATATGCGTGTGTGTGCGCGTGTGCGTACCGAACAAACAGCAGAATCGAGAGGAGGAAATTGACGATCACCTCGCTGTGACAGCCCGCCGACGGGGGAGTACTTGTGACCGAGGGCACCGGGACCCCGCGCAGCAGGGTGGCCAGCTGAAAGCCCGGCATATTGGGCTGGGCCCAGCCCATCCGAAGGCAGATTTCCCCGGCCAGCTGGACTCCAGCGTGGAGAAGGGCACGGCGCTCGGCGGCCGGGGTACTCGGCAGGGTGGCCGCCTGGAGGAGGGACGCCGTCAGCGGCACCAGCTGGCCGGCAAGGTCAAGTGGTGGTAGGGGGGCCGTCCCGACAGGTTGGCCAGCCGGGTCACGCAGCTGGCCGGGAGCCAGTGGCGGAAGCGCCTGCAGCATCAAGGCCACCCCCTGCTCGATGAAGATGGCCGCCAGGTTTCGCACCGGGAAGGAGCCTGAGCCAGGGTGCAGCCGGCCGAACGTCGGGCTCAGTCAATGACGAGAGGGGGAAATGGGGGAAGAGAGGCAGAGCCGGGTGTGCGATGGGTGGCCCCTCGCAGGGGGGGGGGGGGGGGTTCACACCGCGAGGGCGCACCATTGGGTGCCAGGTACAGGGCCATCAGCTCGGCCAGGGGGAAGCGCAGGAAGTCCCCGGGCGCCGGCCACCGGTCACGGAGGAGGGCCACCCCGGCGTCCGGCAGGTCGAACTCGCTGATGTCCAAGTAGGAGCCCCGGGTGGCCGGGCCGCTGTCGCCGGTGGTGGTGGTGGTGGCGCTGCTGCTGCCCGGATGCGACGTTCCACTGGCCGACAGGATATCCAGCACGGTGCGAGCCTTTTGTTCTTGGGCTCTCTTGGAGGCGGCGCGCGCTTGGGCCCCAATCTGGGCCAGCACCTTGGAGGCAGCTTGGCGCACGCGGGCGGTGGCCTTGCGGTCAGTCGGATCGAAGACCGACAGGATGGACACCAGGTAGCCGGCCAGAAGCTTGGAATACTTTTCATTGTCCGAGGTGGCCATCGACAGCGAGAGGCTGATCCTGTCGATGATCTCTGAGAAGGACAGAGAGCAGAGCGAATGGAATGGGACAGAGGAGGAGGGGCCAGGCAGGCAGGCAGGCAGGGAGAGGGGGCGGACGAGGCAGGAGGAGGATGCCCACGGGCCGGGAAAGTCAGACGGGCCGGTGCCAGGAGCAAGCGAAGGGACGGGCGAGCAGAAGGCGAACCGATGTGGGCGTCGTCGGCCATGGCGCGATGTGGGCGCAGGCGCGAGCGCGAGCGGTGAAGATCCGGAAAAGACGAGTGGGAGAGGGCAAAAGAAGGGGAGGGAGAGAGGGAGAAAGATGCAAGAAAG